ACTCCCCCCCCTGAGCCCGCCTGCGGGCGCCCCGGGTCCCCGTCCCCCCAGCCCCTCCGGCCTCGCAGGGACGCACGGACTCGGAAAGGCTTCACAAGATGAGCTTTATTTGGCTGTTAGAGGCGGTCAGCTCCGGAGCAGGGTGTCAGCTGGTGCACAACACGCTGCGGGAAGACGCTGCCGGGACGGTCCTGCTGACGATTTAGTGGTATTTGCGGGCCAGGGCATGGGCCACGGCACCGACCAGCTTCTGCCAGGCAGCCTGGCATTCGGGACTGAAGTCCTGGGCGAAGTGGGCAGCCAGGACGATGACCAGGATGTCACCCAGGAGCTGGGGAAGAAAGAGCACCCCAGGGTTAGCAATGCCCAGGAGCCTGCAGACCCCCACGCAAGCACCCACATTACACCCAGGGAAACCTCCAGGCATTTTGTAGGCTTAAAAATCTCCCCGGGGAGTCCTTTTTAAGGTGTGCCTTAAGCTCATTCTCCGCTCTTACGCGAAAGATTTAGGTTCTGCTACTGCTACGGAAAGAGCAACCAAAAATTCTCCAGAAATTGTGTTGATTAAATTTCCCTTCCTCCCTTCTGGCTCCACGTGGGAGCCTCTCCTGCGCAGAAGACAGAGCTGAGCATCTGCCGCGCGGCAGGGAGCCGGGGCTCGGCGCTGCAAAGCGCCCTGGCATGGGCGATGAGCTCACGCTGACGCAGGGGGGTCTCTGCCAGCCCCGGTGACAAACACGGGGGTTCCTTCCCCACCTGGAAACCCTCGGCTGCAGAGAGCCAAAGTCTCCTCTCCCTCTAGGTCCCACTCCTCCTCTGCCTTTGGCACCGAGCTGCCGCCCCTGGCTCCTCACCCCCTCTCCTTTCTCCCCTGTGCCCAGCTTCGCTCTTGCTCCTTCGCCTTCCCCCTGGCTCAAACCCCTTCCTGCTCAGCAGCTGCTTTCGCTTCGCTCTCCCCCTCCCTTTCCACACTGAAACCACCTCCTGGCTGCCATCCAGTCCACCACGCACCCTCCCTAGCATCCTCCAGACGGCCTCTCTGTAACCGCCACCTCCCGGCCCCGTCAGTGTCTTCACGCCAAGCTGCAGGTTGGTCCCTGCCCTCCCTGCCCCTCTCCTGCATCTCCCCCCAACCCCAACCACCAGCCCCTCTTCCTCTGGCACGTCTGGGGCAAATCCCTCGCATGGCGGGGCTTGGGGTTGGGGGGGAAACTGCCCACAGAGGCGGGGTGGGAAGGAGGGGTCCCCCCGCCAGGAGCATGGCTCACCCTGAAGGTCTCGGGGTCCACGTGCAGCTTGTCGCAGTGCAGCTCGGACAGCTGGGCGAAGGTTCCCTTAATGTTGTCCAGGTTCTTCACGGCTTCGCCGAAGGAGGTGAGCACTTTCTTGCCATGGGCGCGGACCTTGGGGTTGTTGACGATGGCACCGGGGCTGGAGAGGTCCCCGAAGGAAGAGAAGAACCTCTGGGTCCAGGGGTAGACGATCAGCAGCCTGGGGAGAGAAGGAGGGACACAAGCAGACACGTTAATGCTTCTGTGACTACAGGGGTTCCTCTCTCCGGGGTGGAGCCGAGCCATTGCCCGGGAGCTGGACCTACCTGGCCAGGGCCTCGGCACCGCAGTCGGCCACATTGACCTTGCCCCAGATGTTGGTGATGCGCTGCTTCTCTTCGGCTGTCCAGTGCACCATGGTGGCGGTGGGAGGGTGGCGGGTGGCTGCCGGCGGGTACGGAGGAAGTCTCAGCTCTTGCTCCCCAGGGGATAGCACGCTGGCGGGCATCTCGCCCACCTTTATACGCTACGCTGGGCCCCTCCTCTTCCCTGGGCACCCCTCCATTGGCTGGGACCCC